AAAACATTTGAGTAGATACTATTATCAATTATATCTCCATACAACTTTCAAATCATCAAGCTGACAACTCATTGTCTACACACATCTTATGTGTTAACTTAATATACCTTTAAAATTTATCTCCTTGAGTGTACTTAAAAAAAGATAAACTTTAGTTAAATCGGACCCATCATTCAAAAATATCTAATATTTTATAGTGTCAAATATCCCTAATAGACCAGCCTTAAGTGTACTGAACAAGTTGAGACGATTTGGGACTTTGAGTTTTCACTATAATGATGGAAGCGATTATAAATGTGATTTAGTATTTTATCGAGGGGTTTTGCATTCAAATGTCTCATCGTAACAATCATATATATTTTATTACACATCTATCGTGCAAATAAATATATATACAATATAATAGTGTAGATGGTTATGGACTTTTACTATCTAGTCTTTCCAAACCATAAGGAAGACTAATTGGTCAATTCCTAGGGAGTATTGCATTGACTCTCACAATGCTCCATCTCCATGGTCTCCTCCTCTTCTTGTTTCTTCATTTTAGTCCAGTTGTAACATGTACCCTATACTAGTTGGCACGTAGGCCTATGATAACTACAATGGACTCGTAGATCCAAAATAAATAAGAGTTTGCAGGCCCATAATAATAATAATAATAATAATAATAATAATAATAATAATAATAATAATAATAATAATAATTACGGATTCGTAGGTCCAAAACAAATAAGAGCTTGCAGGCTCATAAAACCAACAAGAATAAAATAACTATTCTACATATCCACATGGTCGAGTCCATAATCATCCACTATTAATACATTTATCACATAAATGTACCCCTATATAATATCTAATATTATATGCAAACGTATTTCAAGTTTCTAGTAATTATTGTCATCTAAACTATTTTAGACAAATGGATTGAAAAAATTAGATAATTAATTAATCACGTAAATCAATTAATTCAATTAGCGGGTATATTTAATTAAAATAAAATTTTAATTAAATATCGAATTGAAGTCCAACTCTAATTTCACAATTATAGGGCGGGACTATTTAATTAAAATCAAATTTCAAATAAATATAAAGTTGGAGTCCAATTCTAATTTCAAAACTTAAGGCGGTTGAATTTAATTAAAATTAAATAGTAAAATTAGAGTTCAACTCTAATTCCAAGATTTTAGGGCGACTGATTTAATTAAAATCAAATTTTAATTAAACAATATATTAGAGTCCAACTCTAATTTTAAGAAAAATTTTAGGGCATGACAATTTAATTAAAATCAAATCTTAATTAAATGTCAAATTAGAATCCAATTCTAACATCAAGAATGTATTCAGGTGAATAATTAGTTAAAATCAAAATTTAATTAATTATTAAATTAGAGTCTAGCTCTAATTTAAATTGAATTAATATATTAATCTAGGATAACACTCCTAAATAAAATAAAATTTAATTTAGGATCAAAGTTTAATATTTAAGTTAAAATCCAATTTTAAATATAACATAAAAGTCGTCAATTTCAATTTTAGGTCAAGCCTGTTTGAAAATCAAATTTAAAACCATATTAAAATTCAAATTCAAAATAATCCAATCACTTCATTTAAAAACAAAAAAACAAAATTAGATTTTGAATATGCAAAAAAAAAAAATAAAAAAAAAAAAATCTTAATTGCTAAAAAAAAGAACCATCAACTTTTAATTATTTTTGAATACAAAACAATTTCTAACAAACACAAAGTAAGCTCTGATACCACTGTTGGAAATCTACTTAAGCATGAACAATGAAAATAAAACAGATTTCAATTTCCACAAAAGATCTTTGTGTGTTTGGATAGAAATTGTGATAGGAAATGTACCTTTGAAGAGATCTACAAACTTTTTTGCTTTTCCTTTTGTTCCAACAACATTGATCTGTGTCCAATTATCTAGCCTTCAATGATAATCCATATAGAGAAACGGATTGTGACAACTAGGATTTTTCTTGTGCTAGCAAGAATAATGAATTTTCTCTACAGCTCCAAAACCTAGTTACCTATTTATACAAACCCAAACGGGCTTAGCCCATCTTCTAACTTGGTCCAAAATTTAATTAACCCATTTAATTAAATTCGATCCATAAATTAATTAATTCGGTCCAATAAGTAAGTAAATCATTTAATTAATTTATTCAACTGTTGTTAAATTAATTAATTGGCAAAACATAATCTTCCAGTTCTCCACTTGTGTGTAACTCATCAGGTTCCCAATCACGATACCTAGCAACGTAAATTATTATTTTGATCTAATCAAAATTGATAAATTAAAATACCCTTTTAATTTATCACCTACTCTACTCACGTTCGCCGTCCTAGATTTACATCTAGCAATGTGTCAGGGCAATACACGTAACAAAAAAATGTCACGTGATATGAGAAAATCAAACTTGTTCATTTATCGTGATATTGTAATTCATTCGTCAATATGATCTGATCAATTACGAGATATAAATAAGTGTCAATCTCAATTATCGATCATTATCTTTCATTCCACTATTAAGTCAATATAAATCAAAAACTCATTTTCGACTTATGAGTACACCTTGGCAAAGGATTTTATTATCGACTTAAATGAATGAAATGTGAATCATAATCTCTTACTATTTAAAAGTGACAAATTCTCCATTGCTCATTCACAACCTTCATATGATTCTTGACATACCTAAACAACGCCGTATTAGCAGCCCTTGGCTGAGAAACATCCAACATCGTCAAAGTACGACTATCATCATATAAGGCATCATGATGACCTCAAGTCAAATGACCAATTCCACTACCAAACGTTAGAAACTAACCACTAATATTCAGATAGTTATCCATGTGGAATCTCTCAACGGATCTCCAATGTTTTGTTCTACAACAAAACATTCACGTGTTCATTTAAGTGTCATCACACTTTAGATTGTGAGATCAGCTACTTATTTCATAAGTAAGAAATGTCACACGTGATGATCTATCTATAATAACGATATCTGTATCTCGTTATCAATTACAACCACGAAGGATTTAAGATTCAATCATATGTAATTTGTATCTCACAATTACAACTCCTTGTAATTAACAAATTATCAAGATTTGAATCTACGAATTCTATTATTTAATTTAATTGAATATTAATTAAATAATAGATATGTCATAAAATTGCATCAATTATATATTAAAAATATTTATGTTCAAGGTTGATTGGACTTAGAACATAACACTTACATTGATCACATCGCGAAAACACGTATTCTACTGGGATTCGCACTACCACCTTAATTTACTTTATACTCCCTATTGTTTTGCACATATTTTAATTTGCACCGTATCAATTGGGGGGAATAGTGTTTTGTTGAAAAAAATGAGTGGTTGAAAAAGGAAGAAAAATTTTCGATTTACGTGTAACATTATTTTATGGAAGATTGTGTGGTTGAAAATAGGAAAGAGAAAAATAGAATGTAATGGAATGTAATTTAATGGGGATCAAACAAGGGCTCACAAACACAGCCACCAACAAATAGAATTTTGTTTATTTATAAAATAAATTTAATGCTACGAAGTTATTTCATAATATTGTTCAAAAAGTGAATTACCTACGTCAGAAGTTCATACTAAGTCCACTTATATAATAATTGTATCCTCGAGAATCAATATCTATTTGAATTTATTGGTTAAAATTTAGAGAATGGGATTCTTTTTTTTCAATCAACCAAACTTTAATTGACAGGTTAAAATGTGAGTGCAAAACTCTATCAATCGGAAGAGTAAATTGTAAGATATGCAATGATTAATTATAAAAATCCTTTCACTCTGTCAAAGACTCAAAAGTTTCTTAGATGAAAAGCATCAATTATCTTTTTGTAACTTGCAAGTCATTTACTTGGGTAAATCATATAGGGTTATGAATAGGAGAATGAAAGGACATCATTGAAATATCTAACTAGACTCTATTTCTATTTTTGATAAATTTGAAGTTAGATATTTTCGTGGCTTCTCGTTCCGAAGAAATCGTGTTCAATTTAACAGATTTATGACCTCGAGATTTAAAAAATTCTTACTTTTCGTACTTGTAACAAATTGATAATTTCAATCACATAGCGTTAGTCTAGAGCGATTTTGGCAAAGCTTATATTATAATTGAAGTCGGTGAAACATACTTTTTTATCTACACATCTGACAGAATCCACAGCATGTTATTCACATGTTTCGTATGAATCATAATTTATAAACACTTGAAAGTACTATCAAAAAACACGTAGTAACCAATAAACGTAAAGAAAAGCCAAGAAACCAAGTAAAATTTGGATTGAGTGTGGATAAAAGAACTTCTTAAGATATATTATTCAAAACTTGACGATAAATTGACTTGATTATATGAAGACTTGGGACGATTTATTCGATGCTCCATCAATCGATGAATGGTTTGGTGCGAGCGTGACAACATCCTCTTGTTGTTTTAATTGTAAACCACATAAAATTATAATCCAATGCATTAAAAATCAAGAATGAACAATGACCTTAGCAAAGGCTCTCCTGCTATACAGAAAGAAATAAAACTGTCAACTCAATTTTGAGAATATTTTAGGAAATCAAAAAAATATGTCGGCAAATTACTGGTGGTTCATTAATCTGGTGGTTCGTGACCTCAAAATGGAATGAACTGAAAAAACTATAAAAGAGAATAAAAATAAGATTCAAATACCAAATTACAACCTCTTTACTAAAAATATCCAAACTTCTGCACTATTTTACGCGGTACTATAATATAATACTTTATTAACAATCAACCTAGAATCTATTTAATAAGCTGAACGTGGATTCGATTCTTAAAACATGAAATTGGATTTCTTGCAGATACAGTATACATGTAGCTATTGTTCCCTGACCCTGTTGGGGCATATTCCAGGATTTACCTCGATAGGACCTCTCAAGGTTGGAGTTAAACATTTTTTTTTTTTAATAAGCCAAACGCGTACAACTAGAATCTATTTAATAAGCTGAACGCGGACAACTAACTCTATAATACGTCTCTCAAGAAATAAAGGGGCGTGGCTGCGATTTAGCAAAGCCGGCACATGGAAACGGCCATCCTCTTCCGGGCTCTTCTTCTTCTCTTCACTCTTTCAGGTTATTTTTCTATTCTTCCAGCCATTTTGAATTTGTTTCCAAGAAAAGTTCAGTGTTTTTCTATGTTAAATTTTCTCTGCATGTAAAGGGCCATTCGATTCATTTCTTACTAATGATTTTTAGCTCTGAAAATTAGAATAATATGAGAAGGAGATGTGGGTTTATGATTATTGGATTTTTAAGAAATAGTGTATCCTTTTTCTTTTTCTTTTTTTTAATGTATTCTGTGATGCTGTAATGGTATTTCTTTGTTTTCCTTTTTTGCTGTTCTGCTAATCTAGGCGGCAGGGTATATATATTCATGTTCGAGATTCAGAATTTTTGTCCTTTTTTCCTTTAACTGGTGAAAATGTATTGTGGGAATTTTACCCTTTAACAGGCCCATGTTGAATGCTAATATTTGAACAAAAAAAGCTTCAAATACAGGGAATTCCTTACCGAATTCATAGAGATGCAGATAATTCACCTGTTTTTTCCTCCTCCTAATGATTTCACCCCATGTATTGTCGGTCAAAATTTTCTGTACCTATAGCATTATTTGGACCATTGATGACTGAAAGTTGTCTAACTTATTAATCATACTTCTTTAATACCGAGGTCAAGGTACGATTATTCTTATTATTATTATTCTCGTCTTTTTTTTTTGTTGCGAAGAAGGATTCAAGTAGCTGACTCCAAATTTAATAGCAATAAGGCATATTTGGTTTTTGTTTTCCTTCATTGTTGCCGGAGATGAGTGAGAGATGGTATTGTTCCATTTTGGTAGATTTTTCTTCTTTAATTTATTTGATTTCTGTGTTTATTTACCATGTCCAAATTTACACTTCTTTGACTATCATTTCCACTATGTTCAGATTCATTTGGTAGAATTTGTAGCCTCGGAATTGGAATTAATTATGGCCAGATTGCGAATAATCTCCCCTCGCCATCTCGTGTTGCATCTCTCCTTGGATCTCTCAACATAAGCAGAGTGAAACTTTATGACTCAGATCCAAATGTGTTAACTGCATTTGCCAATTCAGATGTGGAATTCGTCATCGGGCTCGGGAATGAGGATCTCGAGAAGATGACCGATCCAGTTAACGCTCAAACTTGGATTCAACAGCATGTTCAACCTTACATTTCCCAGACTAAGATCACCTGTATCACCGTTGGGAATGAGATCCTAACAGGCAATGATACTCGGTTAATGTCTTATCTCTTCCCGGCGATGCAGACAATATATGGGGCGCTTAGCAATCTCAGGCTGAGCAGGGAGGTGTACGTGACAACTGCTCATTCAATTGGAATCTTAAGTAATTCCTTCCCACCTTCCTCAGGCACATTCCGGCCAGATCTTGCTGAGTACATGCAGCGTATAGTCAATTTCCACTCACAGACGAACTCACCGTTCCTTATAAATGCATATCCCTTTTTCGCGTACAAAGATAATCCTGGCCAGGTCCCACTCGATTACGTTCTTTTCCAGCCTAATCCAGGAACGATGGATCCAATTACCAATTTGAAATATGATAACATGTTATATGCACAAATTGATGCTGTTTACTCAGCAATAAAAGCAATGGGGTATACAAATGTACAAGTTAAAATTTCAGAAACGGGATGGCCGTCAAGGGGGGATTCGAATGAGGTAGGAGCAACGCCACAGAATGCGAGATTATATAACAGTAACTTGCTAAGCCGGCTTCAACAAAACGAAGGCACTCCAGCAAAACCATCAGTGCCAGTCGAAATCTATGTTTTCGCACTTTTTAATGAGAATCAAAAGCCGGGTCCAGCATCTGAGAGAAATTACGGTCTCTATTATCCTGATGGTACACCAGTTTATGATATCGGGTTACAAGGCTTTCTTCCACGCATGGCTTATTCTGCTTCCTGGAAAAACGTAAGAAAATATTTGAATTTGCACAAGGTCTTTTCCCCTTTTTCTTCTGCTTATTTTACAAGTTATATTCATGAATTGACTCATCTGATGTTATCCTTACTTTCATTTTCCAGGAATTATCTTTCTTAGTTCTTTTTCTTTCCCTAGCTTCCTTGATATGTTGATTGGAAGGCAGTGGATTGACGAAGAAAAGATGACGAGAGCTAGAATTTCCTCAAACTTTTGTTTCCGTGCTTTCTTGGGGAGATCTTAGCAGTAAGTAGTTCGGCAACTCTTAACGCTCTTTAAATTAGCTTTATAATATTTATTCCAGCAACCCGAGACCAAGGCGAGGATAATCAAACTCGCTAAAGGACTTGACTTATTCATGATTTAGCGTGAGATGAGAGATGTCCTTTCTCTTCTGACTCATTATCAGTTCAAATCCTTTCGGACAGATTTCATTGGAAAAAAACATGACTCTTTAAACACCGTTTATGGTGCTCTTAGAAAAGTCTCTTATCCTTTTCTCCACTTGCAGTGGCGTAAATGAATCTCATAATGAGCAAAGATTCCTATCTTCTTTAATACAAAAGTCCATAATGGCTTCTGTCAGGAAAAAAAATATCTTATCTCAGTCGAAAGTTTGGTAATGTGGAATTTTTGATTGACCGCCAAAGTTGAAAACTGGTAGTTTCTGTCTCTGTTTGCAAAGGGTCTGTCTGCAATTTTATTTTGTCTTTATCTCTTTTCTTTTAGTTGCAATGGAGAAAGTTTTACACCATAGACACAAATACAATTACCCACTTGTGTTGGTAGAAGAATTTTTTCTTCCCAATTTTCAAGTTGTAGCATCCGTCTGATGCTCAAATCAGGTGGTCGACTTGTGGCCTTCAACATCATGGAGCCCATTGGCTTGGTTTTTGCATTTGCAAGTATTAAATAGGATAAGATTTACAGGTAGACAAACCTAATTTGATAAATCCGTATAACGACGAGCTAACCACCACCAAATTTCGTCGCCTTGTTTGGTAGTCTACAACTTTGATTGTCAAATGAGGATTTTAGCAGCCTTTGTATATTAAAAAACTCTTGTAATTAATATGTTATTTTTTGTAATTGCAGGGAGTCAAACATAGAAGGCTTCATTTTCACAAATCTACCAATCAATTCATCAGTTGGAAAAAGACTTACAATTTGCTAATCATATTAGTTTATAGACACCAGAAGCAGTGTATACTTCAGAAAAATTTTGTAGTACGTCAAATAGCAGAAAGCATTTCTAACCGTCAAGTTATTGCCACACAAAGCTTAAAAAGGAATACAAGTCTTAAGTTTTTGTCGGTAGTTTATGAGCCTTCTACTTCAACCCTATGTGATAATTAAGTACTTTCATAACTCAATTTAGACTTATAAGTGTTTTTTTCCCTTCTGTTGGTTGGTTTATCTATAAAACATTTATCCGTCCAGATGAGTTCTTCAATCTGCACCAGCGATCAAGCATGTTTACACATGAAACTGGTTATACTTGCGTAGTACATATGCCAACGACTCAAGCTACATGGAAATGCTTGCAATAAAACACAAACTTTAAACACCCATATGACTAAAATAATTAAAAAAAACCACCATATAGTAACCAGAAATCGTCACATTTTTGAGAAACAAATAAGAATCAACACTGAACAACTGAGAATATCAATCTGTAGCACCAGCCTAAGCTAACAGATTTCCCATGTTAAATTGTATTTCCAATTAGTCGTATAAGTATTTTCTTTAATTCAACAAATAGAGATTGATAATGGCATTATTACTTACCTTCACAATCATATCAAATCTGCATCCAAGAACAAAATCACTTTAAGAATATAGCCGGATAAGGGTCCAAGAGCAATTATATGTCATTATAATTAGAAAAAGGAAGCCTTACTCAACAAAACTGTCAAAACTCAGCTCAACCCTCCTGGAATTGCCATTGTTGTATCTGGAAATCAGAACTTGGAGAACAGAAGGTGGTAATGCATACCCAAGACTGTAGAGGGCATCCTTCAATTCCATAGTGTCAATTTTCCCACTCCAATCCCTATCAAATCATTCAAACACAGCCTACAAGTACATGGGAAATGGTAATTGCAAAAAATATTGTTATGCTGGATTAAGTCCTAATCTCCAATTCCAAAAGCAATGATAAGCTTGCAAATCCAAAAATGCAAAGCACATACACAAATTTATAGTGGTCCACCCTCGATGTTAGGAGCCTTTACAATTTTTCACTGAAATTGACAAGATGTTCACAAAGACGATATCACACTTCTCACTATAGTGGCGGATTCACGAATGTTAGTGAGCTAGGGCAGTCGTTAACCGTTGATCATCGACGGCCACAATAGCAAGATTGTATATTAATATTTAGTTAAATAATATTAAAACTCTTCAACCAATATATAAATACACTAAAACGTAAAAATCACATACATTCGAAAATATAATACGTATTAAATATTTATAAGTTGTGAATTTTACAGAATACGTGAATAATAAGTGAAAAATACATTGTGAATTTTACGAAATATGTAGATAAATTGTATAGTTTGACTAGAAGTTAAGTAGTGCCAAACAAACTCTACATCATGAATAAATTAACACAATTATCTACTAAGAAACATACATTTTAAAAAGTGAATTATTGGATATGCTCGTAAGTATGAACTCCTTGTTGGTTGAGATTGTTCTATCATAATTCAAAAGTAATTAGAATCCGAATCTAAGGAAACTTAGACATATTGATTAGTGTTTTTGCACACTTATTTATATCACAAACATGACTTAATTACGAGCAAAATGTTTGAATTGTGATTTAATCTCATTGAATTCATGCAATGTAGGTGTTTCTATGGAAATGGTGGAATTCAAGATAAAAGAGACGAAAAAGGACTAAAATAGAGCAAAGTGATAGTTCAGGGATTAAGGATGCAGATATTTAAAAGTTGAACTAAAAGGCAACCTGAAAATACAAATATACTAAGTATGAACTTGAAAGCGATACAAGATGATTGGAAGAAGGAATTGCAAAGGGACTAAAATGAAGAAAAATGAAAGTTCAAGGACCAAAATAGACATTTTGCATAGTTAGCAGCACTATGCGACCGCATAGTGCTACCCTCTATGTGATCGTATAGAGGCCTCCCGAGAAATTTTTTCTCAAATTTTTTTTACTCTATGCGACCGCATAGAAATGTACTATGCGGTCGCATAGAACAAGTTTTGGGGCCGATTCTGCAGTTTCCTTATACGACTGAAACTCTTTTGGTAACCTAATTTTCACGCGATATAAATATCAAAAGACATCCAGAAAGAGGCAGAACGTATTGGAGGCAGAAAAACACTTCTTGAAGAGGATTTTGAGCGCAAGAACGAACATTTACACGAAGAGCTTCAAGATTTCTCAAGATTTCATAACCCTGTGATACCTTTTATCCAAAATCTGATGTATTCTTTTATTTTAACCATGTTAGGCTAGATTTTCATGTGCTAGGAGATCGATGTACCACGTAATTTGATCTTTAATTTTCTAGTTTTGCAATTTAACATTAAGACATTTTTATTGTTTTGAATGATTTATATGCAATTATTGTTTCCGCAATTAAGGGCCCGTAATTGTGAGTTTGGGTGATTTATTCTTGCATTCGAGAGAATTGAAATAGGTTCGACATAATATAAATCATCGTAGAGTCCGATAGGGGATAGAAATATACCGCTATGCCCCTACATGAATCTTGAAGTGTTTATAAAATCGCATGTATTTTTACATATGCACTTGTCATAGAAATATAGGCCGGTGGCATGTAGAAATAAGTTCGATACATCTCGAGAGAGAGTATTGGATAAATTTAGGAAAATTGATTCGTCACAATTGAAATGTGTTGTCACATTGTGAAACTAGGGTTTTAAAGTGATAATTGCATGAGAAATCGTGATCCTAGTGTGTTTAATTTCTATTGATTACAACAAACGTGCGTTCTCAACATTTAATTTCATTTTAGAGTATTAAAAATATTTTTTTGCATATTTAATTTAATTCAATCATAAAAATTGCATAATTAAGATTTTCTTTCCAAAATTAGGGTTTTAATTAGGTTCACATTCACTTTATTAATTTAGTTTCGGGCGACGATAGATAAAATTGAACTAATTAATCTCTGTGGGACGATATTCGGATTCATTTAATCCACTTTATTACTTGTTAACGAACCGTATACTTGTGGTAGTTTTAAATCGAAAAAAATAATTTCGTGAACAAGTTTTTGGTGCAATTGTCGGGAATTGAGTTTAGTTCAATTTTATTTCTCGAGACACTAATTTGAACTTCAATTTTTTTTTTTGCTAGTATAATTTTGTTTTTATTTTTATTTCAGATTATTATTCTTTATTTGTGTTTTAGTTATTTAAATTGTTTGAATCTCAGTGCTCGTACTGGTTTTGTTTCTCAGATTTGCATGCCATGATCGACTGGAGGAGGATTGATTCCAGCTGATCCTGAAATCGAGCGCACCTTTCATCGACTACAAAGAGATCACCGAGAAGCACAAGTACAAATGGCTAACGAACTAAACAATCCCATTATTCAAGCTAATGAAGGAGAGACAATGGACGAAGGAAATGAGATTCTGGGAGATTTCTTGACTCCTCAAGTAATTCAAAGTCAATCCAGCATAGTGTATCCACCATTTGGGCAGCTAAATTTTCAGTTGAAGACCAATGTGATACAGCTATTCCAAAATGGACACCAGTTTTATGGCAAAGCCGAGGAGAATCCACATATTTACATACATATCTCGATTTTTGGATATGTGACAACATTTCAGATACTAAGAGATTTCAGACGACGCTATTAGGCTAAGGTTGTTTCCATATACGCTAAGAGATAGAGCACTTAAATGGTTGGATTCACTTCCGGTTGCAAGTATAACTACATGGAACGAGTTGACACACAAATTCTGCACAAAGTTTTTCTCCCCAGCAAAGATAGCGAAGCTGTGACGTGACATATCAGTATTCAGTCAAGGAGAAACCAAATCATTTGATGAAGCTTGGAACAAATTCAAAAACATGCTCCAGAAGTGCCCTCAACATGGGTTTGATAAAAAGACTCAAATCTGATTCTTCTACACAGGGTTACTTCCATACTACAAGAGCATGGTGGATTCAGCGTCAGATGTCTCAATATCCACACGAATAATTGATGGGGCATTGGGATTATTTGAGAGAATGACTACCACATCAGCCATGTGGTCTTCTGAGAGGGCGATTCCAAGGAAAACTCCAGGTGTCTACGAGGTGGATACTTATTCAGCAATATCTGCAAAAATTGACTCTCTGTACACAAGGTGGAAAGAGCACAAGCTAAGAAGAGCAATTGTAAGAAATGTGAAACTGAGCATAAAACATCGAAATGCCCAATACTCATGCAAGGAATTGAGCAAGCAGACTATGCCCAGTGGGGACAATGCCAACAACACAATCAATATGGAGAAACTTTCAATCCCAGTTGAAAGAAGCATCCCAACTTCTCTTAGAGCAACTAGAATCAAAATAGGCCACATAAACAATTTCAACAACAAGAAAAGAGGTCTCAATTGAAAGATATGATAGGAAAATTCATGGAGAAAGCCGAAGCTACACTTCAAAATCAAAATACAGCCATCAAAAATTTGGAAATTCAGATGGGGTAGTTGGCCATCGCATTGACTGGCAGAACGCCAGGTAACTTGCCGAGTAACACAAAAATCAATCCCAAAGAGCAAGCCAATGCCATTACAACTCGAAGAGGAGTACAATTGCCTGAAATCCATGTCAAGAGACCAGGTGTGATTGGAGAGACATCTTCCCCTGCTGAAGAAGAGACAGTTGTAAAGGAATTAACTCCAAAGGAAAATTCAGAAAAGTCACAGGATAAGGCCAAAGTCATAGTCAACCCATACGAGCCTCCGATTCTCTTTCCACAGCGGTTGAAGAAGCAAAAATTGGAGCAACAGTACAAAAAATTCCTAGAAGTCTTCAAAAAGTTCCATATCAACATTCCACTAGCCAATGCACTATTCCAGATGCCTAACTAGGCAAAGTTTCTCAAAGATATTATATCAAACAAAGCAAGCTGGAGGACCATGAGACAGTAATGCTTACAGAGGAATGAGTGTCAGAATCCAGAAAAGACTCCACCAAAACTAAAAAATTCAGGGAGTTTTACTGTTCCTTGCACTATTGGTGAAATCTATTTCGATAAAGCATTATGTGACCTCGGTGCAAATATTAATTTAATGTCTCTGTTTGGTTTTAGGAAACTCGGCTTGGGAGTAGGGTTGGCAACGGTTCGGTTATGGGTCGGTTCGGCCAAAACCATAATCGCACCACCAATTTTTTGACCATACCATAACCGCACCATAACCACGTAAATCGGTTCGGTTCGGTT